TGGATATTTCCACTCTTTGTCTTGCTCTTCCTCTTCATCCTCCTCTTTCTCTTTCTTGCCCTCCTCCTCATCCCCCACCTTGCATACACACCCATCCTTGTCCTCTCACATGAATTCTTCTATCCATTGTCACACTTTCTCATTCCCACCTTCAACAACCTGTTTGCTCTCTGAACTTGCTTATATTGGCTGCACAGTGGCGCAGTGGTTAGAGCTGTTGCCTTGCAGCAAGAAGGTCCTGGGTTCGCTTCCTGGCCTGAGATCTTTCTGCATGGAGTCTGCATGTTCTTCCTGTGCATGCGTGGGTTCTCTCCGGGTGCTCCGGCTTCCTCCCACAGTCCAAAAACATGACTGTTAGATTAATTGGTCTGTCTAAATTGTCCTTAGGTGTGCGTGTGTGTGTCTCTGTGTTGCCCTGTGATGGACTGGCTCTCTGTCCAGGGTGTACCCTGCCTAATTACCCACTGACCGCTGGAGATAGGCACCAGCACCCCGCAACCCTACATGGACAAAGCAGGTTCAGAAGATGGATGGATGGAACTTGCTTATATTGGCTGTCACATCGTTTGAAACAAGTGAAATCTATTTTGACTGATTGAGTTCAATCAATGACATTTGTGCTCTTTTTATGGGTAAATGTGTGCCACTTGTGTTTACCGTTATGGATGACATGATGTACATTAGGCTGCCATGGTCTGTGTCTGTGTCTCTTTGTGTTCCTCTGGTGTCCCCTGGTCTTCAGCCCTCCAGACATTCCCTCTCAGGTCCTGTGTTCCTTCAGTCTCCCCACCCTAATTTCCATAGGTCTATTATTCCAGTTTTGTGTGTGTGTGTGTGTGTGTGTGTGTGTGTGTGTGTGTTTATTTCCTCCTCCAGCTAGGTGTGTGTGTGTGTGTGTGTGTGTGTGTGTGTGTGTGTGTGTGTGTGTGTGTGTGTGTGTGTGTGTGTGTGTGTGTGTGTGTGTGTGTGTGTGTGTGTGTGTGTTTATGTCCTCCTCCAGCTAGGTGTGTGTGTGTGTGTGTGTGTGTGTGTGTTTATGTCCTCCTCCAGCTAGGTGTGTGTGTGTGTGTGTGTGTGTGTGTGTGTGTGTGTGTGTGTGTGTGTGTGTGTGTTTATTTCCTCCTCCAGCTAGGTGTGTGTGTGTGTGTGTGTGTGTGTGTGTGTGTGTGTGTGTGTGTGTGTGTGTGTGTGTGTGTGTGTGTGTGTGTGTGTGTGTGTTTATTTCCTCCTCCAGCTAGGTGTGTGTGTGTGTGTTTAGGTCTGGTGTCCTCACCTGCGCCTCCTCCCTGATTAGTTATCACTTTACAATGCTAAGAATGGGTGCAGGCAGAAGCATAAGCTTATAAGACTTTCACCTGGTTCTCTCCCCTCACACCTGCAGCTCATCATCCCCCCATAATGCCCCAGTGTATTTAAGCCCTGTCTTGTCTCAGTGTCTTGTCGGTCCATTGTTGTTTGTTGCCAGCGTTTGTTTGTGCTGTAGTTGAGCTTTGTGTCTCTAGTCTTTAGTGCTCTATGTGAGCTTTGGGTGTCCTGTGTTCCAGGACTTTTGGATTTTTGGCTCTCTGCCTGTGGATTTATTTTTGTTTCGTCCTGCCAAATATAAGGATTTTTTACTTTTTACCAACTCCTGCCTCTTGTCGTCTGGGTAATCTGCACTTTGGGTTCTAAACATCCCCGCAACGTGACATAGAGTGCAGAATGTGTTTTAAGAACGAGAATGCGTTTAGAGTTTTGCTAAACCGTGTGAAATGGTTTAAGGTTTTGACAACAGGCTCAACAGTTAGCTTAATGAGTTCAAGCAACTGAGATCTTTCTTCAGTCAATGGATTTTAGTGTTTTAGCAATTGAGAAAAACTGTAACTACACCCAGACTAAAGTTCATGCCTTTGCTCCCCAGGTGATCTGTGAAACAATGGCTGCTTACATCATGCCAGCATTATAATAGAAACTAATTCTGCTCCAAAACAAGTACCAACATTAAATAAATCCAGCTTCAGATGAAGAACATTTGATTCAGAGCATGATTCGTTTTGGTCTGACATCATTCCCAGATCCCAGCTCCGACTTTCAAGGAAACTCGAATGCAACAGAAGTCCAGCTCTTTTTGTTCAACTCGGCCTCTCACCAATTACATTTCATTAATGGGATTACAGTTTGCTGCCAGATATGGTTTCAGTTTTAGCAACATAATGAGGAACTGCAGGAGCAGCAGAACATCCCAACTTGATTTAAAATAGAGCAACTTTTATTCCTTTTTCCACTGGAAGCTAGAACAAATATATCAACAGCTTTATTCTGTTTTTAAAAGAGAAGAGAAAGTAAATAGCAATAAACACAACCTGTGTGTCATTAGCACGATATTCATAACAACATAGAAAATGCATTTGATTAGAAAATTAGTCACCAACCTTTTTATGGATACTGAGCTACACGAAGGGCAACCAGGTGATACAAAAGTGACCTTTGAGCTAGAGTAGATCAGAATTCAATTAAACGTCCTGTATAATAAACATAATTTATCATTATTAAAGTATAATTGAATCTTTATTAATGAACTGGTGATTATAAAAGATGGCAGTAGCAATTTTTTATTTTACTTTAGACTGGCCAGGAATGACGTGTGGGCACCCTAAATGGTTCAGGATTAGAAATTTGTTGAATTTGGTGTTTTACTGATTATTGTACAGGTGTTTGAATTTCATGTTTACATGTGAGCATCGTTCTTTTAAATGAATATTAATATTAGTGCTCCTCCTACTACTACTATTACCACTAATAATAATAATATATCAGAAGCTGATAAATTAATTTTGATATTACAAATGTTCTGAAGATAAAAATTATGATGTAAATAAACAAACAACCAGAGTTATTAACACTTAGGGCATTTGCTCAAGGGGAGAAAACTTGCTCCCATTTATAGTCTTGGTATTTATTAAAGAGCAAATTGATTGGAATTGTGCATATTAATGAACTTCTATAAATTATTGATGTGATGTTAGTGAAGCAAGCAAATTTTATGAAGGAGAAAACAAACACACAGAAACACAGAGGGAGGGTTGGGAGGTAATTCATCCTAACTGCTGCCAGCCTGCTCTCCACAGGGGGCCACAATTGAGATGCAAGTGGGAGCTGTAATGAGCATGCCTATGCTCTTTGTGCTGCAGCAGGACAAATTGTTACCCTGCTGCACTCGAATGCTAGCCTGGCAAGCCAGACTAAATAAATATATTATTTAAACTAATCAAACTTTGCAAAGCAAGAATTTGATCTGGTTCACTAGCTACTCGAATGCAGCACATAGAGCAGAAGGCAAACCCTGATCCATCTTGTCCCGCTCCAGCTCTTCAGTCTGAAATCTATGTGACTAGAGGCAGATTTAACACATCATTTAACCCATTCAGACTGAACTGTGATGATATTCAGTTGATGGAAATCTGTTTATATCTGTATGACTATGCATGTAATAAATACACTTGTTTACATGGCAGGATTTCTCAGTTGCAGGGTGATGGACCCCCATGAGTCAATTTACTGAAAATAAATCTGGATTATCCAACACACTCGAACCCTGGTGTGTTTTAGAGATGTCTATTTGAGACTTCATGCAGGGATTTTCCAGTCAAACCCAGTGACTGTAGAAAAAGGTCAAACCCTAATAAAATACCTGAAGAATCAGAAGGACGAGTAGAATTCGCAACTTATTTCAGGATCGTTTGTAGTGGATGACTGACTGAAGGGGAGAGCTGATGAAAGCCCCTGCCCCTTCTGACCTGTTGTTCCAGTCCTCGAATGCCTGTTGATACGGAGGAAGGCTGCTCTTGGCATTGATACAAACACAAGTGTCCTCAGTAAACATGGCCTTTTCTTCTCAACCTGATGTAAAAGCAACATCTTATGCATTGTTCCATGCCTTGTTGGCGCTCCAGACAGACACAACCTGCTCCTCCCTCACAGCTTTGAGAGAACATTCCTCTGCAAAAAAAATCTCTTCCAGCAACTGCTGAAATTGACTGAACCAAATTAGCTGCACATTTTTCTGAGAATATGTTTAAAATGGTTTATTTGAATGAAATTCGTTTTGCAGTGTGGATATTTTTCAAACAATAAACAATTGCATTGTTGAACTTTGGGTCACGAGCTGAGAAGAGTGTGTAACTGCTCCTTTAAACAATAAAAGTATCTTTATATCTAAACTCCTCCCCGCCTTTTTTTTTTTTTGCCTCTGCCAACAAATAGGAGCAACCTGTTGTTCCTGATCTTGAATCAGTTCAGCTGACTGTTGTGGTGGGCTGGGCCTGTGCCCTGCTGCCTTGCCGAACTGATCCCAGGTCTGTGAAGACGCGTGCTTTTCCTCCCTCCTCGCTGTGTTCCCACAGTGTAGCCCCCGCAGCCTTTTCCCTCAGCCTCAGACACCGTCGAGCCTGGTTGTTGTTTCTCACGCCTCCACACCCCAAAGCCACCAGAAACAAGTCACCTCCGTGCCATGCGGAAACACCCGTTTTAAAATCACCTTTTGTGGGAATTATGATCTTTCCAAATCGGACTAACGATGCAGGAATCCGCTCGAAAGCAGCCTCGACTTTTCCCTCTGGAGTAACTGTGCAGAAGTGGACGTGAACTTTTCTGGACTGCGTTCGGTATGTTAGAGGCGCTACGTTTATGATTGGACGTTTTCTTCACATTTTTAAACGTTTTGGAGTGTTTTATGTCAATGCTGCATACTTTATGGATTGTTTTCTAAGTGACAAAAAAGACAACGAAGGGATTTTTTTCACATCTCAGGAATTCGATACCAGAACTGAAGTGTCCGTGAACGTTGCAGGTTGCTAGCTAGCTTGTTAGCTATTTTGGGGGGTTGATTTTTTTATGCTTTCTTACCGAAACAACAAACAAACGATACCCACCTACGTAATAAGCCGAGCTCTGGAGAATATATAGCGCAGTGCACTTAAACTTAAGACTTTCTCTCAGCTTTTACAGTCTTCTGGGTTGTTTGTACATAGTGTAAACTCGGTCTAACTCAGCCTGAGCTGTTAGCCTTTGTAGCTAACGTCCAAACATGCCGCAACTGAGTAGAGACGGGGACGACCTGGGAGCAAACGATGAGCTGATCGCCTTTAAAGACGAAGGGGAGCAGGAGGAGAAGCGGAACGTATCCGCCGAGCGGGACCTGGACGATGTCAAGTCGTCTCTAGTTAACGAGTCGGAGACCAACAGCAGCTCTGACTCGGAGGTGAGTGAAGTGTGATCAGATCATGTGCAGGAAGATGGTTCGTTGGCCCGGTTGTGTGACTTTGCAGTGTTTGTTTCCAGGCAGACAGACGCCTCCGAACTCCCACAGATGTGGAGAGAAGTAGAGTCAGACAGTTGGAGGAAGGTAGGGTTGTGTTTGTGTGACTCAACCAAAGCTATCAGTAAATATCTGGTTATGATTAATACACTTAATCAAGTCCACGTTTTTGACAATAAACTCGCGGTTCACTGGCCTTACCGTCTCAATTGGATGACATCAGTGTGTTTTTGTTCGTGTTTTCCTGTGCTGTTTCATAGACAGTTACAGTATTTATCAGTGGGTAGTTAAACCTAGATTATTTAGGCTGGGATTTTCCACTTACCCTGGCTTAATCTTCTCTTCAGTTAAACACTTGTTTTTTTCATCCCTTTTTAAAATGATATGCTTAACAAATTAAAAGTTGTTTATACACTAAATCTAAGTTATTGAGATGACCAATCCATTGTGACTTTCATAAACTAAACTGACTGGTGCAGTCACAATGACAGCAGTAGTGCATTTATAATATAGCCTCTGCAATTGTACCTAAATATTAAATGTCAAATTGTTAAAATACCTCAGCTGGGTCAGAAAGTGGCAAGACTCATGATCTCATCCATGCCTGATAAGACAGCTTATACATAGTCATTATTAACATATATTAATTATGTCAGTCCACAAATGAAGTTGAGTGATGAATGTAGTGATCTTTTACTTTACTGCACTGTCATTGTTTTGTTTTTGTTTTTTCTCCTGAAAACGCACAAAAATCTTTACAGAAAAGCTGTTGAAACCCCATTTTAACTATGTATGTCTGATGTTAAACTTTTCAGCAATAAGAAATCAACAGAGTGCTGGCTTCTTCCAGCCATCTCCATATGTTCGATATCCGTTCTTCATGATTCCTGACCTGGGGAACCTCTGCAGCCCTTACCTCACTAACGGAGGCCTCACACCGAGCGGTCGGACGGTAAGACTTACTCACATATATCTTTTCTGAGCGGGCTCTGATCTTCCTCCTGAAGTGTCTTGTCAGCCTTTTAAATATGCTTTAGAAAACTTCATCACTCTTGTACTTTACAAATACAGAATAGGATGGTACACGGTACACATTTGTCAGCACAGCTGAACTGACTTTTAAAACTCTTAAAAACACATTTTGTTCATTGCTAAAATCACTCATGACCTTTAACCCCTTTAATAGGCACCAAACATGCCACAGAGTATTGTGAAACACAAATTACTTGTGTTGACAGTTAAATTCCAAGAGCAAATAAAAGCAGAACATCATGATTCGATGATATCTATTACATTTATAATAATAATAATAACAATAATCTTCATCTTTACATTTCATCTTTGTCATTTCTGAGATCAGCAAGAAACAAATAAGAGCAGACAATTGCTGGATGAGTTTGTATGTCTTTGCACCATGCAGATGTTCTGCTGTTGACTCAGGACTTTGGTATCTAATGTTTCAGAGGTGGGGTTCACTTTTACAGGACACTGTCTGCAACACACCTCAGCTGCTTCAAACTGTACAACATTGTTTTAGAAGATGAAATGTAAATCTGGCTGCTTGCAGGCCGTAGGTCTGTTGTGCAGTTGCATTTTGTTTGGGGTGTTTGTAGTCTTCCAGTTAGCTGTTTTTATGAGGTGGTTTGTGATGGTTTAGCATGAGACGGGTCTGAACACAGCCTGCCTGCAGCAGGAATGAGTTCGGATTTAGGCTGGGACTGTTCTGCAGATTAGCTGCTTTAGTTGGGAGTTGCATAGCAGCACTGGCAGCATGTTGCCCAATTTCCCATTCCCACAGCTTTGTGAAGGATCAGCTTGGATTAGATGGGTACTGGCTGAAAGTTTAATACATCAGTGCTTGTGGCCATTAATATAAAAGTTAACTCTCAGGAAAAATATCAGTGTCTTCAAAGCTAGGGGTTGCTATTAGGCCTGGGTGGGGATTTTTTAAGAATAAGTAAAATATACAGATTTGATTATGAAAGCTATGTTTGTGTGGTGTGGTGTGTGGTATGGTATCTTATTGTGTCATATGATATGGTAGCCCTGCTAGCACTAACATCAGGCGGTGGGAATGTCCCAAGTAGTTTAAAGCCATTTTTACAAAACAATGCCATCAATTTGCCTCAACGCTGAAGCGGCATCAGGGAACCATAGGTTGTTTATAAGTGGTCAGACCGTTGCGGTAGTAATGCACAATCATGTCCTTTTCACAAAAGATTACACAATGGCGGCATAAAGGGGGTATGGGGGCAGTCTCATCACTGCTGCGGACTTCTGTTTATCTCAGACATAACTTGTTTTCTTATTGAGATCAAAGCCACACTCATTAAGTTTTCTTAACAAGCTGCTCCTAAAGATGTCTGTTCGCCACAGTCCCCGTGCAGTCTCTGGTGATCTGACCTCCAGCTCTAACAGAGAAAAGCTCAAAGAGCGATGCATCGCTCCAGTTGACCATATCAGCTGATTTTGTTTACAAAACGTACGGTTCGTGTTTACTTTTATTTTTAATATAGTTGCTGGCCGGAGCCCGGCAGTAACTCCCCATGTCATCATCACACCCCCCTGTGTTGTGCCAAGTCGCAATTTTCGTTAATAGGACAGAAAATCATCACAATATTGCTACCAAACGAGGTGGAACAAATGCTGCAAAATTCCTGCATACCGGCATGGTGCGTTTATAAGACACACAGTTGGTGTAATATTATGTTGATTTGCTGGCATGGTGTGTCTTGTTAAAGGCACTTAAAGGTAATATGAACATTATTTTCTTCTAGGTGGATCATCTAAACCATTGGTCCACATAACTGTCAGTCATTCCTGTGAAGCCGTTACAGCCATTACGAAATTTCTGACTCTTATTGAGATAATTGTTCCCATGTCAATAAATTTGATGATAAAAAAATGAAAAGATGTGTGTAGGTTGGCAACTTTCGTGGACTGTTAAGAGGCTGTACCAGCTTCAGTCATGTAAAAATGTGACTCAACATAATACATGTGACAGCCCCATCTAGTGGACAACTTTTGTTTCTGCACATACCTGTAGTTATCTTCCATTTATCGTTATTGAGGTGAAATCCTCAATATATTGTGGTATTGATTTTAGGCCATATCGCCCAGCCCTAGATCTTACTGATGGATCTGCTGGGTTTCCTTAGATAGAAAACTTTCAACTAAGTGGAATAATGAACTGAACTGGAAGTGGAAATGGATTTTTGGGGAAGTTTATTTTCATGGCAGAGAAAAACTTAGCAGTTCATCTGATCACTCTTCATAACAATCTAGAGTTTCATGCAAACTGTAAGCTTTGTGAAAACCATTATTTGTGTCTTTTTCACAGTTTTGACCTCAACTACTTTTTTCTGGTAGAAGTAGAGAAGGCTCCAAAATGCTTTTATGTGGCTCTACTTTGTTATTAGAGTTTATTGGTCAAAGGCCTAGCAGATAGATTATGATGAGGATCTATGGTGGTCACCTGGCCTCAACCAAGTAAGTAAGTACCCCCCCCCCCCCAGCAACAGCAGATAGATTGATTGTTGGACTTTACTTTAAAACTGAAAGTCCAAAATGACACTTTCACATCTGAGAGGCAAAAACAAAACAACATTTCAAACAACAACCTGTTTGAAGCTTTGACTAAATGCCTTTGAAGCAGCCTGTTATAATTTTTCTCTTGGGTCCTGATTGGCTGAGGTTGTTTTTACAGAAACTCCTTGTTTGTAGATCTGATCCATATTTAAAATTTCTTCCTTTTTGGTTTAGTTTGAAAAACCGTATTTGACCTAGACACAGATGAAGGCTAAACGCACAACCAAGAGCCCACCAACACCTTAATTCCTCAGTGGTGTAGTGCCCTCCTCTTGCTCAGTGGCTCATTGTTGTCATTAGCAGGATGAGAATGGCTCTTTAGGGTCGACTCCACAGGGGAACGATTATATCTCATTAAACCAAAGAATACATCCACCATGAGCTGGTTAAGCTTTTTGTGTCTGACACTGCTCCTCCCACAATAACACCCTGCTTCTGTGTTGTATTGTTCTGATGAAGCACCCAGTGAAGGAAGATAATGGTCTTTGTGACATGAAAAGTTTTGACTAAAGCCTGATTCATGCTTCTCCGTCAGCTCCGCAAGGGACAGAAACACACGGATTGATGGAAGCGTTTTGCTCTCATGCTTCTCCGTCTCCTGGAGAGTGTTGCAAAGCAATTGCCCGCCAGGACAACAGAGGGCGTAGCGCTGTTCTGTGGTATCCTGTCATGTATCGGTCCAAGATACTGTGTTTATATTGTGTTTTTTGTGTATATAAGAGACTTTTTAACACAGACAAATTTGTCTCTCATCCTCCACCACTTCATGCACTCGCCACCTCTAAACCCACGTTTCCTGTCATTTCCGTCCACAAATAAAACGCTTGCTGCGCATCTTTTCACTCGTCCAGTCACGGGGGAATTAAACGTTCATATCTTAGAGTTTTTTTCGCGAGATATTCTTAAAGCTGCTGCTAGTTATCCTTAGCTCTCTTTATGTTTTTGAGGGCGCAATGCCGGCGGTGTAGACAACAGCAGCATCCTGACCAATCACAAGCTTGCGTTCTCCGTCTCGACTGACGGATGTTTAGAAAAGAGAGCTCGACTCCGTCCGTCCTTGCGGAGCTCTCTGGCAGGCCCGCAAGGATGTAGCATGCCTCCGCACTGACGCAGACGGAGAAGCATGAATCAGGCTTAACCTGGGCTAAAGCTCTGTGGTAATCACACTCAATTGGTACTTAGAACACACAGTGGTGCAATGTAATGAAGTACAAGTACTTTGTTATTGTACTGAAGTACATTTTTTTTCTTAATTTGTACTTAATGCGGTCTTTCACTAATATTTTTAACACATTTGTGTTTCACATGCATGCAAGTTTTTCTTACAAGTACATATTCATCTAAACAATTTTACATATGTTGATGTGCAGCTTTTCACATTGTACTTACACACTCACCTGAACTCTTCAATCCCACATTCCCCTGCACACACACGCGCACCCGATTTTCAAACTCACATCATGTTGTACAAATACACCCAGCAGATCTACAAGCTTGTGCATTTTGAAACAAAATGACCTTCATACCCTTATTGACGAGCCGTTTTTACGAACAATGCCATCAATTTGCCGCAATGCCATGACGGCATCAGGGAGCCTTAGGTCGTTTATGAGTGGTCAGACTGGAAGTATTGTGGCACAGTTGTGTCCATTTTACAAAAGACTATGCAATGGCAGCATAAGGGGTATTGCTGGGATTCACTCACGTGACGTCTGCAGCCGCGCGAAACTCCACGTGGCAGGGGTGAGGAGTTGGGTTGTCACGATGTGAAAATTTAACCTCACAGTTATTGTGACCAAAATGATCACGGTTTTCGGTATTACTGCGGTATTTTTTTAAACGTGTTACATTTTCAGACAACTAAATAAACCCTGTATATCAGGAAAATATTGTCCTCAGTTTATGTCTAAATTTAGCCTAAAAGTTGTTATTTTGTAATTATGTTGTTTATTTGTTTACATTTTTCCCCTTTAGTCTTTAAAATACCAATATTTTCCCATAACTTGTTTTTTGTCTGTTTGATGTCATCATTTTACAAATACTAGATCAGATGATACTCAGTACTCAAGTAGCCTTCTAATCAGATACTTTTTACCCTTACTTGAGTAATAAACCCTATATCAGGAAAATATTGTCCTCGGTTTGTGTCCTTCCAGTGAGCTTTGCAGATGTGGGAAAATGTCATCAGGCAGTAATCATTGTTAAATTCATAATTATTCTCGGAGAGAGACCAACTCTTATCTGCCCCTGGGAGCCCCGTAATGCATAGCGTCATTTCAACATGGGGGTGTCCGCGACACGGTTTATATGCAGGTAGCAGCGCTGCGGCTGCTTTATATAGCTACTCGTTGCATTCTCCCTCAA